TGAGGCAAAGCCAAAACAAAGGTGCTGGGCTCCTGGATTTTCTTGCATCAGCCTGAAGCTCTCATCTCTCTATGGCCCAAAGGCTGTTCTCTGGTGTTTGAGAAAGAGATCAATGTCTTCAGCAGAACTCAGCTGGTTGTGTCCAAGTATGGACAAGGACTTGGGGAGTACCAAAACAGATGTGTTACCAAGTTGCAAGTCCCCCTGAACCCATGCAGGCGGAGGGAGGAGCCCGCTCTGTGGGGCAGGAGGAAGTGACTCAGAAAGCTTTAAGGAGTCTGGGACTATGGAACCTGTTAACCTGAAGACGTCTAAAGCAACCTGCCCTGCAGTAGGGGAAATGGACTGGCATTTGCTCCAAAGGGCAGTTTAGCTAAACCAGTAGTGAAAACTTCTTTCTTGTCCTTGTCCCTTCCAGAAAGAAAAGCTTATGGAAGCCAAGGTGGTTACAACTGACGATTGGGAAACTTAAGCCCTTCACTGGGTGAAATAGCCAGTGGCGTTGAACACTAAGGCTACAGTGCATAGATATTGGTCATAATCCCAGCATTAGCTTTTCCTCTCCTGGAATAAGCAGCTGTGTAGTCTAAGTGCACAGAAGAGCCATAAATTCGCATTTCAAGGTAGGAGCCTGGACATGCTCCATTAACCAGCATCCAGACAATTGCTCTGTTGTCTAAGTTCATCTTCCTTAACGGAGGCATCAGCACAGCAATCGGCATCTTTTCGTAGACCTTAAGACCTTCTACAAAATATTGGTGATAACGTCTCCTCAAGTTTCCAACCATTCTGTTCAATGCCCCCAGAATAATTTAGTCCGCTCTAGCTAATTTGCACGGGGACGTTAGCCTCTCAGTTTGAGATACTACCCAAGGTCACTTACTTGGAAATTGTGAACATTTAATACTAAAGCTGGAAGTACAGTAGAGATTATTCACCTCCATCTTCTTGGCATTTTATGGACCAAAAAGTGTTCTGAATTGTTAAGTTTGAGGCAGCCTGGGCTACATAGCAAGTTCAAGACCCTGTCTCAAAAAGCCAAGGCCTGGGGATGTGGCTCAGTGGTAGAATGCAAAGCAGGAGCAAGGCTCTGGGTTTGAGTCCCATACTGAAAAAAAAAAAAAAAGTCCTGAGCATATCAGTAACTGTTTACATCTGGTTAGGGGTGGAGTCAAACCCACTTTGAAGTAGCAAAATGACTTCCCATACACAGCACCATCATTCTCCTTGTCACCCAGGGTCAAAGTGTCAGTCTTCATTGATGTGTCTCTCCCCTTTGCCTCCCATGTGAAGTCACACTCTAGTCCTGTGTGTCTTCCTTGGAACTCTCTCTTACTCCTGTTCCACCCTCCCACCCCATCGCCACCCCTCATTCACTCCTTGGCTGGAAGCACAGGCTCCAGGTGACAGAGAGCACATGCTTGCCATGGGCAGTCTCCTTTGTGGGGTGGTAAAGCGAGGAGGAGCAGTGTGAGAAGTGAGGTGTTTGGGGACCTGGCCTTCAACCTGTCTCTTTCCACCTGTGTAGTATGACTGACTTAGCAAAGGTGGAAAGCCTGGTTGGGTCAATGCACTTACCTGTCATTGCCGCTTTCCTTGTTAGCAGAATCAAAGACCATTTGACCTTCCCAGTATCCTTAACTCAGCATCACTTTACCTGGAGACAGTGTACTAAGGGAAAGAGCAGTATGTTTTCTTCTTAAAGAGGTGCTTGTACATTTTTGTGTTACATTGATATCGAATCTACTTTCTGGATTTCTGGGTCTACTTCAGTCAGGACACTTCCCCTGAGAGCTTCTTTAAACTCACCTGTACCCACAGCAAGAGCCATTCTTTAGGACTGAGGAGGAGCAGTCCTGATCAAGAGGCTGTCAGGAAAGATGGAGTTTAGGGGACAAGGAATCTCAGAAATGTGGTTAGTTTAGTTAAAATATGAGTGTTGACGCCGATCGACTTAACATACACTTATTGTATGGCAATGATTGCTTTACTTTTCCTGCTCCCCTCCTGGGTTCCAATCCAGCCCTGACAGTTGCTAGCTGTGTGACTCTGGATAAGCTGTTCAGTTGTCCTGTGCCTCAGTTTCCACTGCTACAAAAGGAGATAGTAGCACCTACTTCACAAAATTATTATAAAGATTAAATTGCACATTTGACTTTTCCTCCCCAGGGTTTAGTACCATGCCTGGCTCAAGGTTATGAAATAATTGTGAATTACTTTATTAGCATAATTTTCTATAAACTTCCTTGGAAAGCTGAGCTTAAAGAATTTCTTTGTCACGTGATAAGCTGTTTTGGGAGTTAATCAAACTGAGTTGAGGTAGTGTCTGTGTACAAAGAGCAGTTGAAACCAGATAAATGTTTCAAATATTTTACAATAACACTCAAGGAATGTCAGGATATCTCAGTTCAACACTCAGATACATTCTTAGAATTGTCTTCTGTGTCCTATTCAAGATGGCTAGAAGTCGATTTGAATTTCTCCCTGGAAGTTGGAGACTATGGGTTCTAGGCACTTCCAGTTGTCTTGCTCAGCCAGCAGTGGTCTCCTTTTCTAAGCATTTGGAGTCTACTGCCTTTATTGGACATGTTAGTATACTCTCTAAGGACAACTCTCTAAGGTTGTCATGGCCTGTCATTTAATTATTAGAGGCTGAGGAAGGCTAGAGTCTATTTCTCTTTTTCTCACAGGGTCCATCACAGTGTCACAAACAAAAACGGTGAACTATCTGCTGATTGATAGGTCTAAAATTATGTTTGTCCCACACTTTTGAAAATGTCATTTCTGAAAGGAAGGTGTTGAATAGCCTTCTCTAGAGATCTTTGTAAATAATGAGGTTCTCACCTGACTGGGGTGAAGAAAGTGAGGTCTTTGGGGGCGATGCAATGACTTCTGAGTCCAAAATTGAAGTTATTTGAACTTTACTTTGAATGCATGTTTGAAAAAAAAGGTGTTGTAAGTATGACAGGATATTCTATGACAAGACATTCTATTCAGACAAAGGGCCTGGGGTCAGGCCAATGATGCAAGTATAAAGAAAAACCTCCTGTTCAGAAACTGGAAGATAAAGGTAAATGGCAATTGTAAGATCAAGAGCTCAAAGTCTAAGATAAGAGAGCAGGCACATTTTGCCAGTACTTGCAAGACCAATAAACTGGCATGGAAGAGAGTAGGTGCGTTGTTTTCTATCACTGCTGTAGTAATGCCAAAATCTAGGGGCTAAAACAATATATATTTCTTAGTGTCTGTCTTGGTCCATTTCCTGCTGAGTACCTGAGGCTAGGTAATCTATAAAGCACAAAATTTATTCCCTCACCATTGTAGAGGCTGGGAAGTCCAAGATCACTTTGTCTGGTGAGGATCTTCTGACTGTGTCCTCCTGGAAGAGAGCCTTCAACTCTTGCAAGCCCTTTTCCCAGCGGCATTAATCCATTCATGAGGGGCAAGCCTATGACCTAACACACCCCAAAAGGCCCGCCTCCCAGCACTGTTGCACTAGGGGTTGTTTCCAACACATGAATTTCGGGGGACACATTAAGATCATAGCGCTTCTGTAGGTCAGAAGTCCACAAGGAGTTTTATGGGATCAAATCATCTCCATCGATGTCTCCCAGACATCCAAGACTTAAAAGCTCCAGCTTTGCATCCCAAACCTGCTTCTCCTCTGTCCTCTGCATCTTAGTAAATACCAATCCTACTCTGGAAGTCGCTCAGGTCAAATGCTTTGGAGTCATCCTCAGCTCTACTTTCTGATAAGCCCCAGCCAACAAATACCAGTTGGCTTTACCTTCAAAATTATACCCAGAAACTGACTTTTTCTCACTGTGTCTCACCTGGATTCCTGCAGCAGCAATTTAACTGGTCTTCCTCTCATGGCCCACTTCCATCTGCCCTTAGCATAGCTGCCAGGGTAATGCTGCTGAAACGGAAGGTGGATCTGCCATCAGGTCAGTTGTCCCTTCTCACCCAGAGTAAAAGCCAAAGGCATTCAGGTATCCCGAGAAGGCAGCCCCATCACTGTACTCTCCTTGTGCTCACCAAGGCGGTGCTAGATCACCATGCATGTTTCCCATCTGCCCATGGCCAGGGGTCATCCTGGGATGCAGATTCTAGGTCAAATCCAGGCACCTGGTCACTCCACAGCCTTTCCATCCCTCCCGCCCTTCTTCCATTACCATATGGCAGTTTTGAGTAAAGGTAAGTAAAGCCTTTTCCTGTCAGACCCAAAAAGTTGATAGAAACAGATTTCTCTACAGGGATCTGTGCTCCCCCATACAGTGACAAGCCCAGGGCCACTTTCTGGTTCCACTGCTCTTGTGTCCAGTCAGGCCAATAAATATGAGGGAGCTGCAAACCAGTGGTTGGGGTTGGAGGAGGGGCAAGTGTTCTTAGAAGAAGGGAATGGGGAATGGGCTGGTTCCAATTTTTTGTTAATGACAACAGTCCTTAACACCCTCTGCTCAGCTGGTTACACTACTGGGGTTTTGTAAAACAGCCAAGCACCCATAGGGACAACTGCTCCCCAGTCAATTCAGTAGCTGAGGAGGAGGTGAAGGGTGCACACAAAGCCTTTCCTTAAAGGATGGGGACAGTGTTGTATCCACCCTGAACTTTCTTTCTCACTGCTCTTGTTACTTAGATGGTTCGATGCATTTTATTTAAGCTGGCCTGATACATTTTCAAAACTTAATGAACATGCCTGTAATTCCAGCACTTGGTGGGAAGAGTCAAGTGGATTGTGAGTTCTAGGCCAGCTTGGGCTACATGGAGAGATCCTGGCTCAAAAAACCAAAACAAATAAACAAACCAAACAAAAAATGAAAAAGAGTTAATGAGCATAGCAAATGATAAATAGTCACACACAAGTAAGGCCTGAAATATATACCTCTCATTATTGGAATTTAGTATCAGCACAGCCAAGGGAACTAAGAAGCAGGTGACTTTTTAGGACATTTGAGGTGGCAGTGGGTTGATGTGTGTGTCCTGCTTTTGTCTGATAGGTCATTGCTTGTGAGCAGCAGTATGACTCTTCCTATGACGCTCGTTGTGACGTCTGGTCCTTGGGGATCACAGCAATTGAACTGGGGGATGGAGACCCTCCCCTCTTTGACATGCACCCTGTGAAAACGCTCTTTAAGATTCCAAGGTAGGACACAAGATGGCGCTATTGACTCATTAGTGCTTTGTAAAACCGTTGTTAGAAGGATAAAAAATTGTATGCATTTTCTCTCCAAATCTAAAAAAGCCTGATTGCAAAATATATTTCCTTTTGAAAAAAACATTGAGGGGTGGCATAGGGAGAGGGTGTTCCTGAAAGATAACATACCCCAAGGAATAAGACGGCCATGGAACAAGTGCATATTTTTAGCTCTCCAATTTTCCTGAGATGTTTGTTTATCATGCTTTGCATGAGAAGAATACAAATGCAATTCAGGATTAAGTAATCTATCTAAACACTGTTGTTTTCTTTTTAACTGGTTACTTTCTCTGGTACTGGGGAAATTTGGGGGATAAAAAAAAATGCTCATTCATATTGTTGTATTCACTCAGGCCAAAGTTGAAATAGATCAGACAAATGTAACGTCACTCATATGTCTTATTCTTTATCCCTTAATTTTCACTAAATGAGAAATCGTGCTGAAAGAGGGTATTTGGAGGATATTTAAATACAAGTACATTTTCTGTACTTTGTATGCACTAGGGGTCTGTACATAGGCTTAGTTGTCTTTTACTAGAATTGGGCTGATAGGTGGTCAACTCAGGATTCTAGTTAGGGAAAGCCAAGTTATCAGGACTTCTTCCTGGACAGGGTACAGATTGATAAATAATTTGTACTTTACAAATGTCTCTTTCAAAGGAAGGCTCTGGGCAGGCTGGGAGCCATTAGCTACTGTAACAATACAAGTGTTGACCTTTCTTTATCTGCACAATCACACAGCTATCACAGCCTTTAAAAATTTCTCTTGATTGCAATTTGCATTTCTGATTAGGTCTATTTATATGCAGATGAGGCTCTCTGGCATTCATCATCAAAATGTTATCGTTTTTTATACCTAACCCAGATGTGAGCAACCACTAACCCCTATTCCAAAAATGATTCCACCCAAGCCTGGGTTAGTCTTTTTGCCTTTTTCAAAACACAAAAATGGGTCATGGTGGTCTAGGAGCAGATGAAGCACCTGGCTTTTTAAATTAACAGTCTGGCGAGTGTTCAAAGGGACGTAAGAATACAGGAGCCAAAAGCAGCATCGGGTACAGTAATGCATCAGGAAATGAGAAACAGATCTGGAATGATTTTTGTGTGTGATTTATTACAAAAGGTTTACCTCTCCCTGCTTATTCACTGTGACAATGTAATTTCCCAAATATCAGGATATCAGAATTAAGTGTGGCTTCTGATTCCATATTTGGAGATCATCTACTTGGGAATATTTGTTATTTATTTATTTTTTCTAATTTTTTGTATATAGACCCACTCTTCAAAAATTTCATAAGATGAGAAAGTGGGGGCACCTAAGGAATGTGTGAGTGCGCGCACGCACATGCATATTTCAATATACCCATCATTTCCAATGGCTCAACTTAGCCTGCTTCTATGCCCAGCCAAGCTTCTGATCTCTATCTCTCTCTCCACTTACCTCTTCCATCTTGGGAGAAGTCTTCAAATCTTCACACAAATAACTAAGATCTCTTCTTGCCTCCTGCCTCAAGAGAGAATGAGTCCCAAGAAAAGAGCAACTGGAAGAAAAGGATCAGTATCCCATCTTAGGCTAAGTCTCTGTCTCTCTTTCACTCTCAAACCTTCTGCCCTCTTACCCACCTTTAATCCTGTGCAAGTGATGGATCAGACGAGACGAGACTAGGGAGTGTCAACAATAATCGGTCAGCAGATTCTCAGTGCGACTATTTGTGCTCAGCATTTGCTATTGTCACTACTGTAATGGGTGACTGGCTTGGCATTCCTGGGTAGAAAGGAGAAAGGTTAAAAAACAAACAAAATTAGCATATTTGCTTACATGAGATAACTTGATACTTTTTCTTCCTGAATCCAGGAAGCAGTATGTTGGGTTTATATTCTCCAAGTTATTTACTTAAAAGTTATCCTGTCAATTAGAATTTCATAGTTCTCTTTGAAGGGATGTGGATTGACCAAGAATGAGTGCACATGAATTTGTGTGGTTGAGTGTACATGTGAGTGTGTATGGTAATTTAATTTTGAGTGCCAAATATGTATCCTTTTCTTAGAAAAGCTCTTTGATGAAGAATGGAGAAGTCATGCATTTACATATTTTCAAAAGGCACTCAACTGACTTATTTGTGGGTTTCATGGGAATTAAGCTCCCTGTCCCTCTTTCTTCCTGTCCCTCTCCCTTCTTCTTTTCTCATCGTAATAGAAAAAAGCAAATCATGAATAATGACAAAAAAGTCTTTGAATCCATTTGGTTTCAGGTTTTTTTTTTTTTTTTTTGTATTTGAATGTATGTTCCGTGTTCAGGGTCTGGGATCCAGAAACCTGTATGGCTTCCTCCTGTGGATTTCCTCACTGGCCTCTTCCCTGTGATCCTTTTCTTCCTGGAAATAACTGAGAAACTTTTTAAATAAGGGAAGAAAAGAAAACCTTGACTGAGTCAGGAAAAAGGTGACTTCCTCAAGTTACAAAGGACTTGAGACACAAAGAGCCTCACATTGCTCCACAAAGGCAGCAATGACCCAGGTTCCCAGGACACTGTCAGAAGTATGAAGCGGACCTGCCTGGGTGAGCTTGATCTCCTGCATACGGTCTGCTTGCTCGTCCCTCTGCCTCCACCCACCCTCTCCTTTCTCTTGACCTTCACATTAGAAGATGACACATAGAGTTATCATGACCTGTCTTTGAAATACTGAGTGACTCAAAATCATTCCTATGTTGCAAACACACAGAAATTATCTGCTGATTGGCCAAGCACTCACTATTTGCTGAAACTGTCAGCATGTGTCATCTTGTCTAACACATTTGCTCCAAAAAAGTCACCCTCTGTGACTGCTGACGCTCTGTCTGCTGCTGTTTTTCTCCAGAAGTTAGAAGAGAGAACAAGAATGAAAACCATTTCTCTGTACATTGGTAGATTTGACTCTCACACATGTTCTTTCTTGAGGACTCCATTAAAATTCCAAAGGCCTAGAAGGATCTTGTAGAAGACCTGGATATATATTTTTGCTTAAACAGAGATCTGTTTTCTAGATATAATTTCAAGAATCAGTAGAGTTAGAAGAAATACACAGTTGTGTTCATCTCTTGGCAACGAGGTACTTTTCCTTAGCTTTAGTCTTTGGCTAATGACCCCTTTGACCTGCACAGAGGGCTTAGAAGGTGGTAGGGAGTTGTGTGTGTTTACTGGACAAGCTCTGAAAACCACATTGTCTGAGCATTTATTTGGGGCCCAATGTGCTTCCACCTTATTCCTTGTGGGAAAACGTAGGCGATTTTCATGATTCCCAGAAGAAATGCCCTTGGCTGGAAGTGGATGGGACCGACTGGCCTGTCATTCAAGTTCTTATAGCTGGTGATTCCCCCTTCCCAAAGAGAACTTTCCCTGCAGCACTCTCTTTAAGAAAAGGAGAACAGTGATCATCACCACTTCATGCTTCAGTTTGTTTCCCTCCCTAATCTAGGTGATTCCTGAGTCACCTGTCCCCACAAGACTATCACAAACTGGATGGCTTAACACAACAGGAACTTACTCTCTCCCAGGTGTGGAGGCCAGAAGTCCAAAGTGCAGGAGTCAGCGGCAGGGCGTGGGGGGGGGGGCAGAGAAGCCACCAGAAGCTGGGGTTCCTAGCAGGTGGCAGCCTGACTCCAAGGTTTGCCTCCATCTTCTGTGGTTGTCTTCCCTGTGTATCTGGATCCTCTTTTCTGTCTCTTATAAGGACATTTGGAATATAGGACCTATTCCAACTCAGGAAAATTCATCACGAGATCATCGCCTTAATAACTTCTGCAATGACCCTTATTTCACATGAGGTCACATCCTCATGTTCTGAATTGAGGTATCTTTTGGGATCAACATTTCTACCCACTACACCAAACTTTTGTGTTTACCAAATCCCCAGAGAAACCAATCTGGGAGCAAAATCCAGACAACTGGCTAAAGGATGACAGAGAGAATAACAGCTAAGATCTTCTGTGTGCTAACCATGTGGCAAGCACAGAGCTCTGTGTTTTGCCAGCACGAATGTGGTATGAATCCCCACAGTGACTTGGGGAGGTGGGAGCTGTCACTGCCACCTTTTCCAGATTAGAAAATCAGAAGCCCATGCAGTCTCAGCAGCTGGCCCCAAGTCCTTACCCCCTAGAGAGGAAAAATGGTTTGAGTGTGAGGAATCTGCTCCAAAGCCCACACATTTTGCTGCTGCATTGGAAAGTTAAAGCTCTTTCTTAAATTGTATTAGTTAGTTGTGAATTACGTGCTGAGCACCGAGGGGACTGAGTGTATGGAAATGAACAGAGCAGGATCCCAGCTCTTAATTAGGCTTATGACTCACATCCTTCCTGCATTCTCCATTTGAAACTGGTATTGTCAGCCTGAAAGTTTGAATTTTTATCAGCATCAGTGATTGTGTCAGTTAGGGAACTGAGGAACAGAGATCAAGAGTGTCATCATAGGTGAGCATGGGACATCCCTCAGGACTCATTGACTTATGACCCAAACTGAGAAATCTTTCCCTTCTGCAAACACTCCTTCAAGCAACTGCTGTTGATTTCCTAAATTAGAACACTCAAGACACAAGTATTTGAGCTGAAGATTTGCAGAACACATTGTGTAAAAGCAGAGAGCTTCTGTGCTACAGAGTTGATGGTACCTAAAGTTTCTGTCATCTCCCCTTCCTAGCAAACCCTTATCTGCCAGGTCAGGGCTGTTTTTGGTATAGCCAGCATCTCCTCTCTGTTCCTCTTCTCTTCCCCATTCTTATTTACTTATTTTTTTTCAGTAGGAGCATTTGCTCTGGGTTCTGGGGAAACAGGAATCTGTTTCTGGCATCCTGAGCTGACATAATGCACGTTTCCCACTTTGGGGCATTATTGGATTTTTGTGGGTAAATGAAGTTTTATAGCCTAGTCTGAGGACTTAAATCCTGCTAGAACTTTATGCTTATGGAGAAAAATGT